TATATGTATATATATATATATATATATATATAAATATAACATATATATATATATATATATATATATATATATATATATATATATATATATATATATATATATATATATATATATATATATATATATACAGGTATATATATATATATATATTCACAATATTTTATAATCGCAGTCATGTACTGAATATTCTATGTAAAAAATATAAATTTTAAATGAATTATTTCTAGTGTGGTTGACTTCCTACACAAAGATAGGCTATAAATAGCCTCCTTATCTCCTCTCCATCTGTTACCCTCTGTTCTGAGAGAGAAGGTCTTGGTAAATAACTTTTGTTTGTTTATTTTCATTGTTTGTCTAATTTATCATGTTGTATCAAAGTAATATTACTAAAAGTTTTAGGCAGCTACCAAACAGGGAGATTCTACTGCCTGGGAAGATATTGGAAGCATAATGTACAGTATTGTCTACCGTATATCTCGGCCTATGAGGCGTCGGGGTGCATAAGACGGCCCCCCCCAAATTTCCATTTAAAAATTAGCTTTTGAGCTCTATTCGCTGTATAAGACCAGTACCCCAAATGTGACACTTACCCAATGACTCAGTAGTCCTTTACCAACCATCCTTGGTTTTTTAAAATAAGGCCAATTCACTTCAAGTAATGTCATCAAATGTTACCCGCTGGTGTAGTGTAAACACTAGTGACGTCACTGAAGCGTCTGCTATTTACCGGTAACTGGAACTAATGTCGGTGTCGAGTAAAATTTTTCCATTTACTTGAAATGGATTTACCGATTTATTTGTTTATTTATTTATTTATAATATACTGTAACATATTAAACACACTGCAAGTATTTTCTTTAATTTATAAGCTTGCTTGCTTGCTTCGCACGAGACGATCGGTGGTGGGAGTGTTCCCTCGTCTTGGTGGTGGGACTGTGTTCCCACTGTTTATACAACATCTACCACCCTATTCCCCTATTCTAATTGTGGTGTTTAATTAGGATTTGAGTGAAAACGAAAACGAAAAGGGAGAAAGAAGCCGAGGACAGGATCGGAGAAACTGCTGACAGGTTCAAGGTATCCAATGATGCAGTGGCTCACATCGCAAACACCATCAGAGCTGCAGACAACATCATAACTGAAGGGGACAAGTCTAAAGTGACTAACTGGAAGAAAGTGGAGAGAGTCAGGAAGAGGTCACGAGAACAGAAAAAAGAAAAGTTCAGGGGATTCAAGGTCAGAGGTCTCATGGTAGATGAGAGGATCAATGAGAACAAGATAGTGACTGGTGTAGGTGAGAAGAACGGACTGAGATTTTGTCCTTAACTGTCCAAGTCAAGCTACTTGGGCTGAATTCGTTGATCAGTCCTGGGACGAATATTACCAACGGCGTGAATAGATTCCGTGGAATAAATTCAGGGCATTCCCGTCCAGGGAGCCTCAACAAACTCTGTAAATATTGCCATTGGCCTGCCATTGGCACATATACGGAGTTTGGTAATGTTCCATGAGCGGGAATGTCCTGAATTCATTCCACGGAATCTATCCACGCCGTTGGTAATATTGGGCCCTGGTTTTCGAAATATACGTATGTGGTGACTTGCAGCAAAAATATCGGCATAATTTGTAGCGCATTGAGTTGTAAAACAATAGCATATTATGAACCAGTGTACACAGTAGTCGAATAATCCAATTCAATAACTTGATTTTAACAGGTTGTGCCACATTGCCAGTCCCTTTATTATTTACAGTTTTTTCGCGTTTTTCATGCCAAACCCAAAAGTATCCACAAACCTTCTAATGCAATGATGTAAAAAACTCAAACATATTCGGAATTAGCGTGGCCGATAGACAAATAATCCAACCCAAGCAATTAGATTTTGAAAACTTTTGCAAAACTGTCACTCCCTAATATACAGTGAACCCTCACTTTAAGCGGTTAATTGAACCCACCGCGGCCCGCGTAAAGTGAACATAACATATGGGATTAATTGAAATAGAGACTGGGCCAATCCCCAAACTCCACTTTTTCCCGACACAATACATACGTTTTACTAAAAATAACATCTTAACTTTATGATGGTATTCACACACACACATAATATAGAAAGGAACAATCAATAAGAGAATAATAAACTGAAGGTTAGGTTAGAAAAAACAAGGTTGGGGTTAACACTTACGTTAGTAGAAGAGATGGGTCGGCGTAGGGGAATGGAGGCTGGTTCTGAGGCAGAGGGCAGGCTACTGGCCCTCAGGTGAGTCTTCATCGGTGTCATCCACTCTTACTAGCGCCTCCCTGACAAATCCCTCAAGGTCATCATCACTGTCTCTGCCTCTGTCACTCTCACTGGCTTGGGCTGGCTGTGGTGGGTTGCGGGAGAAAAACTCTGTTATGCTTTGCTGACGGCTGGTGTTTATGTTGTCGTGATAAACCTTGATGTAGGGCTCCATAGTCTGCAACAGCTGGGTAGTGAAGATTTCATACCTGTTAGCGTCAGGGTCGTCGGAAAGGAGGAGCTTGACTTTCTCTATACACTCGATGGCACCCCTTACATTACTATGGGATAAGCGGCGTTCTTCTTGGGATGACGCACCACCTGCCTCTTCACTAAAATCATCATATCATCTACCATCTCGTCAGTAGTCACATCAGGATCCCTTATCACCTCCAGGATGTCGTCGTTGGTGGTCTCGGAGAAGCCTGCAGCTGTAACACTCTGCGCAGCTTCTCTGGCAAGGTCCACTGCTACTGCAACAGTCTGAACCTCACCAGTCACAGATTTACTCTGCCTAACACCCGGAATACCCTGCAACACATGTCTCCATGCGTGACGAACATTTGCTACAGACAGCTGATCCCATGCCTCCACCAAGAAAACCACAGCTTTCTTGACGCTGAATGTTCTCCAGAATTGTTTCAAAAGTACTTCTTGCTCTGCCAACTGTTGATCCTCGTCGTCTTCGCTGTTGCTATCGGTGTTGGTGTCACTCAGGTTACGCAACTCTTCCTTGGTGTTGGTGTAGTCGTTCAGGAGCTTGAATTTTTTTGCAGAGAATGCAGCTTTTACATTACAGATCAATTCTTGGTCCATGGGCTGTATTATAGACGTAGTGTTGGGAGGAAGGAAGACCACTTTTACGTTGGGGTGACGATCTAACAGTAGGGGCGAGTGTCCTGGTGCGTTGTCAGGCAGCAACAAAATCTTGAATGGCACATTCTGTTGCTCACAGAATTTCATCACATCGGGAACGAAAGTCATCAAACCAGGAGAGGGACAGAGTAGAGAACATCCACGCATTACGTGCAGTCAGCTAGTGGACATTCAGCTTGGTCATGTCCATGCTCTTGTAGGCGTGCGGCTTGCGTGCTGTGTGGATCACCGATAACTTGAGCTTACAGGTACCGGAGGCATTGGTGGTAAACAGGACGGTGATGCGCTCCTTCTGCAACTTCCAGCCCCGACACTTGCTGGCATTCTTCACAACGAAGGTCTTGGAAGGTAGCTTTTTCCAAAAAAGACCAGATTCGTCCATGTTAAACACCTGGTCATCGGTGTACTGTCCTTCCTCCATAATCTCACGTAAAAACGGAGGAAATTCCCTAGCCGCAACACGGTCAGCACTAGCTTCTTCACCACCAATGTTGATATTGGTGATCTTGTTCCTCTTCTTAAACCTCTGTAACCACCCAGAGGAAGCATTAAAGGGTTTGGGCTCTGTAATTCCCATCTTTCGTGACACTGCAGCATACAGTTCATGTGCATACTCCTTAACTGAGCATGTCCACCGCCATGTTCCGTCGCGCCTGACGCACCAAGTAGCTAACAAGTAATTTTTCCGTCTTGAGAAGCACCTCGTTGTGGAAATACTTGATCATAGAAGCACCTGTAGACTTTGTGATGTTCATGTGCTCCTTTATCTTGGCTGCATCCTTCTTAATTGTCCTGATAGTTGATTCGTTAACACCATGCTGGCGCGCGAGATCAACCTGTCTTGTTCCTTTCTCCAACTCTTGTATGATCTTATATTTGATTTCGCAGCTTAAGGAACGTCGTATCTTCTTTGGCTTAGGGCGGCTGGGTCCAGGTAATGCAAGGTTTCTTGGTGGTGGTGGTGGTCCGGTGGAAGCCATTCTTATGGAACAATGGATACCGATATACACGGTCTAGCAGGGAGGGGTGTAACTGATGCAGTAGGTCAAGGGGCTTGAACGCTCCTGCGGCGGGGCACGTCATAGTACATTAAACCAATCACAGCTAGCAGGGAGGGAGGTAAGGACGCTTTGCCCAATCACAGTCCGCTACGTCATATGACGTCACCGATAACGCAACATAGACATACACTGCGCACCATGCTCGCGCCGCTTACACAACATGGCGGATGGCGGGAGAGATGGCGGGAGGTTTGGATCCAAAAATGGCATGGCGCGAGAGGACCGCCAGCCGCTCTCCGCGTAAAGGGGTACATGCACCGCGGAAAGTGAGCATTCCGTGTTCGGCAGGGTACCGCGTAAACGTGGAAACGCGTAAATTGGGACCGCGTAAAGCGAGGGTTGACTGTATATATTTAGTGGGTCTAAATGGTCGTAAAATGGTAAACTTGGGGTTGGGTGCCTAGAACCCCCATTAGAATAAATCCCATAGGGTTATGTAATTTCGGACAACGTCCATTTCGGTTAACATCACGTTTCCAAGAACGTATCTAGGACGTTAACCGGCGCATGACTGTACTTTGTGTCATGGTGATCAGATAATCACCACCCTTCATTGAAATAACTTACAGATCTACCGTAATTATAGTAAATTGTTTTATCTTGCCAATACAAGTTTTATTACTTTATGGAACATTTCACAAACTCGTATATCACTAAGTATGATAACTGAAGTATTTTTAATGTATTGTGATTAGGCAAAAATGCAGTATAGTTGAACAAAGTTTTACCTTAAATACTGGACATCTGGATAGTAAATAAGTTCACAATTAGAAGTATTATCACTTACCTCCTCGAGAAGTGTTGACAATAATGGCAGACTTCTTCATCTTGCTAAATGCCTCATCATTAAATATCTCACGTGTTTCATCATTGAGAGCACAAGTCACCACAATGAAGTCCGATTCCTGCAGCAGTTCACTGAAGGAAACGTACTCAGCACCCAGTTCTTCACCTGATTTGTTAAGAACTAAATAAATAAACTACATACAGTGAGGCCTCTTTATTTGCATGGGTTCCATTCTTAAAAGTCAATATTTATAGATTATATATATAGAGTATACTGGGTTCGTTTAGCAGGAACTAAATTTACCAGGGAGTGTTGAATATTAATTCTGGTGCCCTAGATACTATGTAGTGCAATGTATTGTATAGCATTTTATACCCAAAATACTGGGCTGCTGCAGCACCCTCCCTTCCCACGTCCAAGTACTGGGTGGAGTGAGCCAGCACACACCTCACCACAACAATAACAAACACAAGACTGACCAAGTGTAGAGTGCAGTGAGTGTTACCCACGTGACCAACTCTGCCAAGATCTTCCCAGATAATTTGATATAACTCGGCATTTCCCGAGTTATTTTACTGTGTAATAACTTCCGAGATTATACACGTGACGAATTACAGTGTATGAAATTACGAGATATCAAATTCCTAGTTATCAAGAGTTTACTGTACTCAACAAGATGACCCACTTGGAGCAGTACTCAACACAATGACCACCTTGTAACAGTACTCAACAACGGCGACATCATTGGACTTCAAAAAATTTATTACCGCATACCAACGCTGGCATTCTTCCCACTGAACAAGCTTCTCACACCTTCATCAACATTTTCAATGACTCATCAAATACAAGTTGTTTTTTATTTTATACAAAATTCCTATCTTTTCAGTCAGCCTATTTATTTCATGCAACAAGTGTACATCACTGTTTCTATTCTTTCCAAAGTAAGTTTCTCACATTTTCATGAATATGTAAATGCAAATACTGTATTGAATGAATATTTCTACAATGATTTATCATTATCTAACATGCCTTTAAATTCATATTAACCATATATCCTTCAATTTCTCTATGTATATATGGAAGACATGAATTTGAGCATGTGGCCCACCAAGTGTACCCAAGCTGTTGATGTGGCTTGCTAGCCAAAATATTTGTCCACTCCAGTATTAAATGAATGAGTCACAGAAATGCAGGTCTACTCTGCCTCATATAAAATCCTATTTGCTTCTGCGCAGACTCTTACTGCCTTCTTAATGGCTCTTTCAATTCAGTAAAAAATTAAGAAATTCAGAATACTGTACTGTACTGTACTCTGTTTAAAAACATTAAATCTATAAAATCATAAATGCTACCAGAAACTAGACTTCTCCCCATTAATTTAAAGTTAATTTGGAATCCAAGTAAATGTGGAAAACACTGAATGACTAGAGGTAAAGTCTCTCTTAAGGGCAAAACATAGGGTCTTTCATGCATGTCATGCACTGATACCCTTACCTTCCTTCCTACGGGAACGGCCATTATAGACGAATTTCTTGACACCAAAGCCTTGCAACCTCCGGACAACACCTTGACCAATCCGACCCAATCCAAAGATACCAACAGTTGAGCCCGCTAGACCCCAACCTGTCATCCACAGAGGTGACCAGGCACATTTAGCCCAGCCTCCACTGAAATTAAAAGTTTGCTCAGCAACATGACATACATCATTGCCCACAATCCATATCATCTTTAAACATCTTAAAGTTTAATAGAGAGCCAAGATGTACAAAGTCATAAACAATTAGTTATCTACTGTAATTATAACTGGATGCAAAGACAAGACCTTATGTAAAATGCAGGAACAGGTATGTGCAACAGGGGCTTAAGTATTATGAGATATGTAAGATTTTGCATGGCAAGAGATTTTGCACTATTAAGTTCCTCTTGAAAAACTCCAAACTGAATATAAACTGATGGATTACAATTACTGTACTGTTATCACCACTGCATAATTTTGCCTCTGGTCCATAAATCAAAAAATATTTGGTATAGTGGATTTTAATTTATTTGTATTAACACCTTGTCTTTAGAAATTGTAGAGAATGGGGTACAGTATTGGCTAGTTAATTACACTGTACAGCATATAGATAAGGTAGGGAGTGAGATGAATAGCTTTGTCAATGAAAACATGTTCTTAGAGATGCCTCCTAACTTTTGGAATATGCGCCTCTGTTCAGATTGCTTTCTCTCCAATTAACCTGAAATCATAAGGATGTACAGTACTGTGCATTCTCTTGTAATTTACTTGGCATTATTATTACTTAACCAGTTCATTTATTTATAAGCAATTTGGAGAGTTCAGGGTCCAGATTCACAAGGTATGTGTATAATAATTTTATGCCCTAACTAATGCTAAGAAAATGTATCCAATGTCAGTTCTGAAAAATAAAAAATAAATTATATCCTATAGCAGGCAGTTAGATACAGTTTTACAATCTCCAGTAACAAGGAGTTTACAGTACAGTATGGAATTACTGAGACTGATGTAACCTTATTTTTTCCATTTATATTGTACAGTACTTACTTTTACTGGGACAGTACTGTATTCAGTTGAACACAGTACTATGTCTAATCAAAGAATTACTGCAGAATCACAATAACATGAGAATTCAGGTATAGAGTGGCTATAAGACATCTGTTAAATATGCCTATAAATTCAAAACAAAGTTCATCTTACTTGAGTAACTCCGTGTGTGCCTCAATCAACCTGCGAGACGTTGCCAAGAGTAACGCAACAGTGAGCTCTGCAGTGGCATCAGTCAAGACACCAGGAGTATATCCCACCTAATTGTAAAAGATTAATTTTGTAAGAAACTCGACTCAATCTAAAGCTTAGAGCTATCACTGATCCCATTTTACATTGAATGAGGTGGCAATATCCTGTGTGAGACAAGATTATTCAAGGCCTTCCCACGACAAAATAAATAGCCTAAAGTATACAACACCATGTAACATCAACATGATTTACATGAAATATGAAGAATGAACTCTATAGGTATGTCCTTAATACCTGTGCCAGTAAGATATTTTGAATGTTTCTGAAGTTCTGTCATTTAACAGTAACCTTGACAATGAGATACATATTCAAAAAGCATACAATGTAAAAACAATTGCAAAGGTAAAAAAAATCTGAATCACTTCTTATATTAATTAAAATAAAAAAGTACAGTACAGCATGCCCTGACAATGGACGAGTTGTCGGTCGGAATTTTTTCGTAAGATGGCAGGTCAATGGGTAAGGAAAATGATTAAATTCACTATGGTAATGATATTTTAAAATAAATTGGGCCAAAGTGTAAAAAATAAGAGTTAAAGTTGCTACAAAGTCACGTGATTGTGAAAATCTCTGTGATTGGTTGTGACATCACTGGTAGCCTCGAGCTGCCGAGCAGGAGCGTGGAGGCAGCCAGCTGTGGTGTATGTGTTGTTACCAGCAGAAATACAAGACTTGTGGCCATATACAATGTTGATATACACATGCATACCTTATTTTTAGTTATAACAAATTACTGCTCAAGTATCATGGTGTGCATTTACTTGCTGGGTGCCAAAATGATACAAAAGACCGATAACTCTCCAACATGGAAGTTTTCAGCACTGTTCTCTATTTAATGTCTGGAAAAATTTAAGTTTTCGTCACTGATGTCTATATTTAATGTTATGGAAGGACTAGGGACGACCATGGTAAAGCTTGAGATGATTAAAATGATAGATGTAATTTAACGTGCTTCATAGCTGGATGGCGGAGTTCTTGATAATACTCTACAATCATAAAGACATCTACTTTTGGTAAATTTCTTTCATCTGCCTTGATGAACCCTGGAAGTAGTTGTCCAACCTTTTCGGCTGATCAGCTCTGTAAAAAAATATTAGTAGATTTAATTGTGCTTTACTGTGCAACACAGTAACGTAATGGTATACAGTGGTCCCTCGGTTAACGAACACAATTCGTTCCAGAAGGTAGTTCATTATCGGAAAATTTCATAAACCGAAACCATTGTTTCAATGGGATTTTGGGTAATTGGTTCCAGCACACCGAAAAGTACATACAGTGAGGTATGCTATAACGAATGGATTCTACTACGAATATTCCTATAACGAACGGTTTTACCTATAAAATTGAGAATGCTATAACGAACGAAACTCCTGCAACGAATTTTTTTTTTTTTACTAATTTATTGTTTTTTTTATTACAAGTATTAATGATATTCTTTATTTCAGGGGTTTAGATGCATATTTATGCACTTTTTTTAATTTTTTACAATTTTATATTATATTTTTCAGTGTTAAGTGGATGTATTTGGGGGCCTGGAACGGATTAATCCTATAACGAACGAATGCTATAACGAACAAGGCTCTAGAACCAATTACATTCGTTATAGCATACCCCACTGTACAAAGTAAAAAAAAAAAAATGCAGTAAAGTACACTTACTTTGAGGTGTGTATGTAGAAGGTTCCTGGTTGATGATGATGGGAATTAGAAGTGGGGGAGGAGGAGAAGGGAGAAGAGAAGGAAGTGGGGATGGAGGAGAAATCACCTTTCAGGGGACCCTTGTGTGATGCAGTAATTTCACCAATAAAATTTTAAGCTCACTAGTTGTAATTCAAGATTATTTCATTTAAATCAACACTGCACTGCGCTATATATTACCAATATGTTAACTAGTTCCCTGTAATGCATATATTTTCAATATATTAAATAAATGTTAAAATGACTAATCATTTTAATATAAAAAATGCAACAATATTAAAGAGCACAACTTTCTTGATATTTACTCCACTGGAAGCGAATGTAAGCATAGAACAGATTACTGAATTGGCAGACTAGCCCATCAGCTGATCAGCAGATGCTCACAACAAAACGTGATGTTCGTAAGGTTTTCATTAAATGAAGTTTTGTTCGTTAACTGTAAGATTGTACCATCATACGATATGTTTTCCCATGTTGAGATGGGGGGCTTGTCTTTGGCAGCGCCCGGTTGCCAGTCACCAGCTGACGCTGTTAGAATAAAGTCTACAAAGAACGTGGTCTATGACTCCAACCTCTCACATGGCGCAGTGAGTAGGATATGTCGGGGCCCGACACGCCATTACAGCCCTGACAAGAACGCTGACATGGCCCCTACACGTCCACGATTCTCGACGCCCTCAAGGGCACGCCAGGGCTTCTCTACACCGGCGGGGAACACCACTCGCGCCCAGCAGCAGGCCATGAGTGCATTGATGGCGCAGATGGCGTCTCTAGTTGCTGGCGGTGGTCATGCTTCTATGCCGGTCATGAAGCCCTCAGCAGCTATCGCACCAGAGAAGTGTGAGGCAGAAATGCGGTCAGTGGGAGCAGCTCTCGCCCAAAGAAGCCCTGGACGCCATCAGTGGAATGGTTCTTCAATCTTCAAACCAAGCTGTGAAATGGAACGAGTTTTTCAACAGCAAACAAGGTGAAGAGGAGCCCATGTAAAGGTATTTTCAACGATGCTTCGCAGAGGCAGTGGAGTGTGAATTTAAATGTCCCACCTGTGATAACGACCTCTCTGAGTACATGCTATTACGTAAAGTTATGGTGGGCCTGAGTAACCCAGTGCTGAAAAGGGAAATTTTCCAGGGGTACTCTAGTTATAATAGTGTTGAAGTGCTCAGAAACAAATGCATGTTATTTGAGGCAGCAGTGAGAGATGCTGGTGTATTGTGTCGTACGTCTGGCCAGGCAGTGGTGGGAACAGCCGCGGAGGCAGTGGCGGTTGGTGATGACGTCACCGGTGAGTCCAAGGTAGCTGCCGCCCGACCTGGACACCCCAATCACGCGCACTGTGGTAACTGCGGCATGTCACATGCCTCTGGTAAAAGTAACTGCCCTGCAAGTGGGGCTACATGTCGCAATTGCTGTAAGGTTGGTCACTTCAAAAGGTGTTGTAGGAGTAAGTCAGCCCTAAGTGCTCCTATGGATGTGTCAGGCGCTGTTACAGTGGCAACAGCCCAGCTATCCCGCCACCCCAGGTTACAAGTGTTCGTGTCCCAGGCCGGGGGCAATTCCCCCGCCACCCCTGTGCTGGCTGTAGCTGACACAGGTGCTATGGTCTGTGTGGCAGGCGCATCCCTGCTCCGGGACATCGGTTTGTGTCTGGGGCAACTTCGGGCCCGTAATGGCCTAAGGGACGTGGCAAACAAACAGCTCAAGTGTCTGGGGTCCGCCCCCTGCCGCCTCGGTGTGGACGAGGGGTCCACCGTCCAGGAGGTCTACTTCGTGCAGACAGCCAAGGCCCTCTATCTGTCATTGGAGGCCTGCAAGTGCCTCAACTTGGTGCCTGTCGACTTCCCGCTCCATAGACGTGCTGTGGCTGCCGTGAGCGATGGAGGGGGAGCGGCACACTGCCGACGATCTACCTCCGAAACCTTTACCTGAGAGCAGCCGTTTCCCGCCGAGGCCAGTTGAGATACCCTTGCCTCCTTTGGAGGAGAATGTGGCCAGGCTGGAGGCATGACTACTCACGCACTTTTCGTCTACCGCATTCAACACCAGCAGGTCCCCACTGCCAGTCATGACTGGTCCCCCTCACCGTATCCACCTGACGCTCGGCACGACCCCCTACGCCTGTCACACACCCGCTCCCGTTCCGAAACACTGGGAAGCGGAGGTGAAGGACCAGTTGGAGGAGGACGTCAGGAGAGGCGTCATCCAGCCAGTGCCTGCTGGTGAGGCTACAGAGTGGTGCGCCAGGATGGTCGTGGTGGCCAAGAAAAACGGTCAGCCCAGGCGCACTGTGGACTTCCAACGCCTCAATGCAAGCTGTCTGAGGGAGACGCACCACACACCTGCACCATTCGACATGGTGTCTGGGGTGCCAGTGCACTCGTTCAAAACTGTCGTCGACGCCTTTTGGGGATTTCATCAAGTGGAGTTGGAGGAGGAGAGTAGACGCCTGACCACATTCATCACGCCGTGGGGCCGTTTTCGATACTGCAGGACGCCCATGGGACATTGCTCAGCGTCAGATGCTTACACCAAGAGGTTTGACGACGCTATTCAGGATGTGCCCCGCAAGTACAAGTGCGTGGATGACACTCTCCTCTATGAATCCAGTGTGAAGGGGGCGTTCTGGCACACTTACGATTTTCTGGAGACCTGCGCTCGCACAGGTATCACGATGAAACCAGAAAAGTTCTTGTTCTGCAGGAGAGAAGCCGAGTTTGTGGGTTTCCTCCTGGGGTGGGACCTCTACCAGCCCACTGCCCAACGTCTGTCAGCCATCAAGGACTTCCCCATGCCGGATCAGCCATCAATCACTGACATCAGGTACTGGCATGGCTTGGTTAACCAGTTGGCTCCCTTCCTTGCCACTGCACCTGTGATGGAGCCCTTCCGTGAGCTCCTCAAGAAGCCAGTGGGCAAGCAGGTGTATTGGGACGACCAGCTGCGGCTCAAGTTTCGCCAGGCCCAGGACACCATCTGTCAGTTGGCCAGAGACGGCTTGGTGTACTACGACAAATCCAGGCCTACGGCAGCTGTCACGGATTGGAGCAGGGAGGGCATCGGCTTCGTTGTCCTGCAACAATACTGTGCCTGTGCCTCTCCAGAGACGCCCTTCTGCTGCAGAGGAGGGTGGCGGTTGGCTCTGTGTGGTAGCCGACATCTGAGCACGGCCGAGGCCGGTTATGTTGCAGTAGAAGGGGAGGCCCTGGCTGTGGTGTGGTGCCTGCGCAAGGCCAGGCTGTTCCTCCTTGGCTGCCCAAACCTCATTCTGGTGATGGACCACCGCCCCTTAGTTGGCTTGCTAGGGGACAGAGCCCTCACGGATGTGGCGAATCCGCGCCTGTTCCGATTCACGGTCAAATACTTGCCAGGGAAGCGGAACTGTGCAGCTGACGCCCTATCCCGCTTCCCCTCCCTCAGGGCGGCGCCTGATGCGGAGGACATGGACCAAGAGGAGGACCTGTGCGCTGCAGTGTGTGCAGTCACAATCGCAGCACTGGATCAGGATGGGTGCATCACTATGGACGAAGACACAATGTGCAAAGCGGCTGCGGACGACCCAGTGTACCAGATTCTAGTGTCGAGGGTGCTGGCGGGCGACTAGCACCCCCACAAGTCACAGGAGGTGGCCTGTCTGCGCCCGTACTTCTCGGTGAGGGACAGGTTGGCTGTGGTCAGGGGTTTGGTCACCTACACCTTTGACCAGGGCTGCGTGCGCCTTGTCATCCCCGACTCCCTCCGCCACCGGGTCGCCGTTAACCTGCATGTGGGGCACCAGGGCCTCGACTCAATGCTCAGGCGGGCCCGGCAGTCTGTCTATTGGCCTGGCATGGAGGGTGACCTGCAGTATCATCGGTCCCGGTGTGCTGCTTGCGAGACCCACGCCCCTTCCCAGCCTCCGGAGTCGTTGGTTCTGACCCCAGCGCCAGACTATCCCTTTCAACAAGTGGTGGCCAATTTGTTCCACCTGCAGGGCCGCACGTACCTAGCATATGCTGACCGACTCACAGGTTGGCTGGAGATCGCCCACTTCCCCAACGAGGCCACCTCTGGAAAAATCATCGCCCGTCTGCGGGCCTACTTCACGAGGTGGGGGGTACCTGAGCAGATCTCCACGGATGGAGGTACCAACCTTGCCAGCCTTGAGATGACAGATTTCCTCAAGTCATGGGGGGGTCGAGGTGTGCCTCTCGTCGGCCCACTTCCCCCAGTCCAATGGCAGGGCAGAGGCTGGGGTCAAGGCTGCCAAGAGGCTCCTCAGGGATAACACTGGGCCCGGGGGTAGCCTGGACTGCGATAGGACATCCCAGGCCCTCCTCCAGTACCTGAACACGCCTCTGCGGGGGGTGAACAAGTCGCCCGCCCAACTTGCCACCGGCCGCCAGCTCCGTGACGGCGTTCCCGTGGCCAGACAGCACTATAAGGTGGACCAGCACTGGCGGCGGGCACTTCGTATGAGGTAGGTGCGCTTGGCCGAAACCCAGGATGGGGTCCTGTCGCGGAGGGAGGTATCCCGCCAGCTGGCTCCCCTAGTCGTGGGCACGCAGGTGCGTGTGCAGGACGCAGCTACCAAGTTCTGGGACAGGACAGGCATAGTGGTGGAAGCCCGCCCTCACAGGCAGTATGCCGTCAGGTTGAGTGGCAGTGGCAGGGTGTCCATCCGCAACAGACGCCACCTGCGAAACGGCTCCACACCTGTGCCTACTACTCCGGTGGTGCACCAAGCTGTGCCTCCTGGCCCCCCTTCTGCTGTGCCCTCCATACCCGCGCCCTCCTCCGCACCCACGGCCCCTCCCCAGTCGAGCGCGGCCAGGCCCAGGAGAGGCCGTAGGCCTCCGGGCTGGTTAACGGACTACGTGGTGTAGTGTATGTGATGTAAAATCAGTTTAGAGGGTTTTTTTTCTTTTTTTTCCTTTGTTTGACTCGTTTTTCCTGCATTATTGTTGTTTTTATGAATGCATTGTTTTCCTTTTGTTAGTTCAAATGTGCATTGTCATTTCCTTTTAACTTGGGGGGGAGATGTAAGATTGTACCATCGTACGATATGTTTTCCCATGTTGAGATGGGGGCTTGTCTTTGGCAGCGCCCGGTTGCCAGTCACCAGCTGACGCTGTTAGAATAAAGTCTACAAAGAACGTGGTCTATGACTCCAACCTCTCACATTAACCGAATTGAAGATCCTTATGGGAGGTAATTCGTGAACTGAAATTTCGTTAATCGAACCGTTCGTTAACCTAGGGACCATTGTATACCGTATCACTCTACGAACGTGGCAGAGTGTATTTTTTGTTGACTCAGAATTAACAACTCGTCCATTCGCGGACCTCGATTATTTGCGGATGACACCCTGGATGTACCCAAGAATGTCTAAGGGTAGTATTAAAGTTGCTAGCATTTTCGCATCCGTGCTTTGTTATTAACTTCAATAACAAAGCACGGAGTTGACTTGAGGGTAGACTCTCACATTTTTAATACATTTTGTTGTCTTGTTTCTGATTATTTGTTAAAGAATTTTCCCATTATTATTTTTTGTATGTGTTTTGTGTGTGTCTACACACACACACACACATATATATATATATATATATATATATATATATATATATATATATATATATATATATATATATATATATATATATATATATATATATATATATATATATATATATATATATATATATATATATATATATATGGGAAGAACAACTAGCCTTAAAGCAAAGTTTCCATTTTCCGTGATTATCAAGATTTTCATTACGGGCCATGGATATATATATATATATATATATATATATATATATATATATATATATATATATATATATATATATATATATATATATATATATATATATATATATATATATATATATATATATATATATATATATATATATATATATATATATATATATATATATATATATATATATATATATATATATATATATATATATATATACAATACAGGTAAAAGAAATAATTGTCCTAAGGGCAAACATATAGAGGGAATTTACAATTCTTTGCACACGAGTCAGCAAATGTTATTCGCGGATTCGGCTATTCATGACCATTTTGAGAACCTAATCTTCGCGAATTTTAAGGGCATGCTGTACTGTACTAGAATCTGCATCACCTCTGGATATAACAATACTTGCTAGGCTTATTTTTGCTCTCCCACCAAGGACTACCATTACCCCATTCTTGATTTGATCAAATTGCAGTCATCCAATTAAAGCTAGAATAGAGTTCAATTTCTGCCTAATGACTTTTAAGGCACTTATGTTTAGGAACTTTAGTGATCTTAAGTATTTATCCAACTTACTAAATTCTCTGACCACAAGTTCTGAAATTATTTTGCCTAGTAGTGATGATCCCCCTCACCCAGTGTGGGAATGTTCTTTCACTGCCAGATCCTTTTCCTATACAGCACCCAGATTGTACAATTGTCTCCTGTGAAGGCCTTTAAGAATTAATTTAAGAATTAATTCTTTTTTTTTTAAAGCTTATGATCCTGAAGAGGGTACGCTGATGGAGAATTACAGGGTTCAGGAAGTGTTAGGAAGGGTGTATACACACAGTCACTTTTTTTTTTATCTTTTTTGGTAGTATACTGTACTTTTTCTTTTTTTATTCTCAGATCCTTGACTTTGTAGTATGTCCAGCACTAGTGAATTCTTTAGAAGAACTGGCATATTTGAGAAACAAAAGACAAGCTACAGTAAAAAAAAACATAATTCGTACCCCCTCAAATTCGAAATCACTCATAATTTGTATTGTTTTGCGGTTACGAAATATATACCATGCAGCATTATTATTAAATTAACCAGATATGAGGAACTGATCCTGAAGCCTTATTTAATAACCGAGACACAACTGGATGGCCTGCATTATATAACCATCTATGTTATCCCATTAATTAGTGGTTGGTACTACTGTACTCAAAAGATTATTGATGCCTTCCAGCCCCCTCAGAGCTAAGAAATAATATTGTCATCTAAATCACTTGGCTAAATTGTACTTCAACAGTACTTATCTCTCCCATTATTTATTCACTTACAACTTGCAAGACCAATAAAGACCCAATCTTCAGTGCAAACCATTTTGTATGTAACCATTAACAGAAGGCATAACATCAGTCATCCATCTTTGGTTATAAAATGAGATTTAAAGATTACCGTTAGTTAATCATTTCCAATTCCTTATAAGTGTCCTGGGTGACTGGTGTTATACAAAGCTAATACAACATTGGCATGGTGTAGAAAAAAAAAGACTACCCGGTACTCATATAACAAATTTGTGACCATGACATTTAAGCTTTTGTGATTACACTACTGTACTTTGATCCCTAATGATATAAGTAACTCAGAACTTATGGAGGACAATTCCTGAACCAACTAGAGAAACATTATTTCAAGTTCTTTGTGTACTTTATGGAATCAATAACCCCTCTCTTTGACCTATTGTTATATGCTTCTCCAGGTAATGGAGGATTACCTATGTGCTAAATCAGAAGACAATACACTGTATTTCCCTTATTTAAAGTGGTAAGATATAAAAATATTTACTGAAACAAACATATACAATATACCTGTAATAGTAAAAAACATGTTAAAACTTACTTTTATACGACGTTCTTTTATCTCTTCCAAACTCAGGTGATCATGTCCGACTGACATTGTGCCAATCACTTTAAGACTTAGTCCTATCAAAAAAGAAATAAAATATAATTTACAGATTAAATTATTAGCAACCTGCAATTTTCTCCACACACAGACTTAGACATTTCCTGATACTATTGTGCCCTACATATAAAGCCCAGTTACCATTCTGTGAAATCAGGTTGGTTATGGGAAGGGCATCCAGCCATAAAACATACTACAGTCAACCCTCACTTTACGCGGTCCCACATTCCGCGTTTCCACATTTACGCGGTGCCCTGCCGGAACCCAGGATGCTCACATTCAGCAGTGCGTGTACCCCTTTACGCGGAGAGTGTCCGGCTCGTCACTATTTTTAGATTCGCCCCACCCGCCTGCTCCCACCTCCTCCCTCCTCTGCCTCCGCCTGGGCAAGCCGCGCGGTAAGGTTGCGCAGTGCATGTCTCTGTTGCGTTATCAGTGACGTCATATGACTTATCGGACTGTGATTGGCCATGCAGCCCTACCTCCCTCCGCTGCTAGCTGTAATTGGTTTAAAGTAATATGACGTGTCCACCCGGGGGAGGGAGGGAGGGAGGAAAGACGACGATTGACCTAGCCACGGCAGTTTCATCCCTCCAGGCCACACCGTGTAATCGTGCATCCATTGTTCTGTAAAATGGCTTCCGCCGGACAACCACCCCAAGAGAGAAACCTTTCCTTGCCTGGACCCAGCCGCCCGAAGCCCAAGAAGACACGACGTTCCTTAAGCTACGAGGTGAAGTACAAGATCATCCAAGAGTTAGAGAAAGGAACAAGACAGGTTGATTTGGCTCGCCCACATGGTGTGAACGAATCTACGATCCGGACGATAAAGAAGGATGCAGCCAAGATAAAGGAGCACATGAAGATCACAAAGTCTACAGGTGCTTCTATGATCAAGTATTTTCACAACCAGGTGCTTCTCAAGACAGAAAAATTACTTGTGAGCTACTTGGTGCATCAGGCGCGACGGAACATGGCGGTCGACACGCGCTCTGTTAAGGAGTACGCACGTGAACTGTATGCTGCAGTGTCACGAAAGATGGGAATTACAGAGCCCAAACCCTTTAATGCTTCCTCTGGGTGGTTACAGAGGTTTAAGATGCGGAACAAGATCACCAATATAAATATTGGTGGTGAAGAAGCCAGTGCTGACCGTGCTGCAGCTAGGGAATTTCCTCCGTTTTTACGTGAGATTATGGAGGAAGGACAGTACACCGACGACCAGGTGTTTATCACGGACGAATCTGGTCTTTTTTGGAAAAAGCTACCTTCCAAGACCTTCGTTGTGAAGAATGCCAGCAAGATTCGGGGCCGGAAATTGCAGAAGGAGCGCATCACCGTCCTGTTTACCACCAATGCCTCCGGTACCTGTAAGCTCAAGTTATCGGTGATTCCACACAGCCCGCAAGCCGCACGCCTACAAGAACATGGCCATGACCAAGCTAAATGTCCACTGGCTGACCGCACGTAAGGCGTGGATGTTCTCTACACTGTCCCTCTCCTGGTTTGAAGAATGTTTCGTTCCCGATGTAAAGAAATTCTGTGAGCAACAGAATGTGCCATTCAAGATTTTGTTGCTGCTGGACAACGCACCAGGACACTCGCCCCTACTGTTAGATCGTCACCCCAACGTAAAAGTGGTCTTCCTTCCTCCCAACACTACGTCTATATTACAGCCAATGGACCAAGAGTTAATCTGCAATGTAAAAGCTGCATTCTCAACAAAAAAATTCCAGCTACTGAACGACTACACCAACACCAGGGAAGAGTTGCGTAACCTGAGTGACACCACCACCGATAGCAAGAGCGAAGAAGACGAGGATCAACAGTTGGCAGACCAAAAAATACTTTCCAAACAATTCTGGAGAATATTTAACATCAAGAAAGCTGTGGACTTCTTGGTGGAGGCATGGGATCAGCTGTCTGTAGCAACTGTTCGTCACGCATGGAGACATGTGTTGCAAGGCATTCCGGGCGTAAGGCAGAGTCAATCTGTGACTGGTGAGGTTCAGACTGTTACAGTAGCAGTGGGCCTTGCCAGAGAAGCTGCGCAGAGTGTTACAGCTGCAGGCTTCTCCGAGACCACCAACGACGACATCCTGGAGGTGATAAGGGATCCTGATGTGACTACCGACGAGATGGTAGATGATGATGACGTCAGTGAAGAGGCAGGTGGTGCGTCATCCCAAGAAGAACACCGCTTATCCCATAGTAATGTTAGGGGTGCCATCGAGTGTGTCGAGAAAATCAAGCTCCTCCTTTCCGACGACCATGACGCAAACAGGTATGAAATCGTCACTACCCAGCTGTTGCAGACTATGGAGCCCTACTTCAAGGTTTATCACGATAACATAAACACCAGCCGTCAGCAAAGCATAACAGAGTTCTTCGCCCGCAACCCACCACAGCCAGCCCAAGCCAGTGATAGTGACAGAGGTAGAGACAGTGAAGATGACTTTGAGGGATTTGTCAGGGAGGCCCTGACAAGTGTGGATGACAGTGATGGTGACTCACCTGAGGGCCAGTAGCCTGCCCTCTGCCTCGGAACCAGCCTCCATCCCCGTACGCCGACCCATCTCTTCTACTAACGTAAGTGTTCAACCTAACTTTTAGTTTTCCTAACCTAACCTTTATTTTTCCTAACTTAACCTTTATTTTTCCTAACCTAACCTCTTCTATATTACTTGTGTGTGCATACCATCATAAAGTGTCGTCAAAAAGTGGAGTTTGGGGGTCGGCCCGGTCTCTATTTCAATTAATCCCATATGTTATGTTGTTCACTTTACGAGTTTCTCACTTTCCGCGGTACCCTGAGGGTTATATTAACCGCGTAAAGTGAGGGTTGACTGTACTTCAAATTTGTCAGATGGCAACTGTGACATCAGGGCTGTGTATTTTCTCCTGGTCTCCGCTGCATTTTGCATTTTCTGGGTTGGTGTGATGCATACAATCATATTCAGTGCATTCCCAAACTCCAGAATTCTTTAGCTTTCAATAGTCCTTGTTCCAAAAGCCTTTTCCCCAATGCACACTTTCATAACCCAATGTACGTTCGCCAACATAGCCATTTTGGTCACTACCCAGTGTTACAAATTTCCTTTTACCAAGTTCCAATACTACACACAGCACCTCAATCCAAGAAAACATATGAAGAATTAAAAAACCAGCAAGCACAATACAGTCTGCATTGCTATGAAATAAGATTATAAGATATTTTGGCCATATAATTTGGGATGAGGGGATATTACGAAAAATGTTAATGGGCAATATATTAAAGGTAGGAGGGCCAGGGGAAGGCAGAGATTGGGATGGATGAAATAAATTAAAATCTGGGCGCTTGGAGAAATGCCTGTGATCACCAACCTTCAGACATGTGATGTGGAGGGAACCTTGATTGAATGATCGATGTTTAAAGAAATTCCACAACCTTATTATACAGGCAACCCCGCAATATGGAATCCTGGGTTATGGTAAATCGCCATGGAATTTTGAAATTATTACAAAAAATAGCGATAGACAAAAAACTCACCCTTACGGAATTTCGCTACATTTTTTTACATTTTTCAAACAAAATTTATAACAAAAAAAATTTACCCCAAATATAAAATTTATTTTGTGTGGATTCTTGGTGGTAGCTACAAGGCAGTTGGAGAGTGGCACACCTCCCCAGCAGCCACCACAACAATGACTGCTCAGTTTGAATTCTTTCCCCAGTTTGTGTTCAGTTATGCATCTGTGTTCAGGACAGTTGTCGCCCTTACGGAATTTTGGTTAATAGCGATATTGAATAAAAAATTTCACCAAAATTCTAAAATTTATTTTGTGTGGAATGTGGTGGGAGCTACATGACGGCTGGAGGGCAGCTCACCTCTCCAGCTGCCAACAGCCACAACAACAAGGGCACTGCTCAATTTGAATTCTTTCTCCAGTTTCTGTTCAGTTATGAGTCTGTGTTACTGTGGATACTTATTCAAGATAAGTGGAAGAAAACCATCAAGTTCAGGTGAAAGCAGTGGTGATAAAAGATTTAATAAAGGAATTACCTTGGACATTAAACTTGATGTTTTTAGGTGGTAAGTCATGTAACTCCCAGTAACTCCCATTGCACTACCTCACCTCACCACTTCCTGCAGCACTCTATATATAGTTTCTGGTGAGTTAAATTCAAGTGTGTGTATTTAGTGTCATGTTACATCATGAATGAATCATTGTACAGTATGTGTCTATTTTCATTTACATGTGCTTGTGTTACGTTTTAGGGCCGCAAAAAATTTCCACAGGAAAGCATTTTAACTTATATAATGAGAGTCAATGGGAAAAAATAAATGGTTTCGCGATACGGAAAGATTTTCAGGTACGGAACCCTTCCATAGCCCGGGAGATGCCTGTACTTGTAAAGTATTAATTTATTTTAGCTAATCAAAACTTGAAATTCCAAATATGTATGATTCAATATCTCTTTCTCTCTCTCTCACAAGCACACATGTATGCGCACACACACACACACAATGGCAATGTATGTAACTACTGTAATGTACAGCAATTCTAGGCCACCTAAGCTGAGAATGTAGACAACCAAAACAAGATGTACCATACAGTATTGCCAAAAAGAAAAACAGGTGGGGGGTTTGTTTCCACGTTATGAAAGAAAATGTGTCCAGATTGCCCAAATGAAAACTCTGGTATACCCTGAGGTGCTCACTTCCCAAAAGACAGAATACACCGTAAATGTTAACATTAAGAAAGACAGTTCCTTTCTCCTAAAACTGTTTCCCTGGAGGATCATAGCTAACCTGTCTAGAACAAGGTACTTAAACAATACAAGTCATATAAAAAGAATATATGTATTTACTACAAGGTTGCAACTATCATTCTAAAGCTACCCAATAACACTGTATGAGTAAAGATGAATCCTGACATCTTACCAGCTGCATCCAACACCTCTTCATCTATTTTTTCAGTAAGGAGGCAAAAGAGAGCATCCTTCCCAGAAATTCTCTTCAGCAGTTCATTCCTTGGAATTGGGAAGGTTCCTGGCCAGATGTCCACTTCACATCTATAAATCAAAATACTGTACTTTAATATTAAAGTTATACTGAACTTATCTCTCGCTCCTCATCTCCCCTTGAGTGCTCCCCTCTGCAAAGTTAGCCCAAACAGAAGAATCTTTAAGCCACCCTTTGCCTTAGAAAAATCCATGTAAACCTTGGTCCACGTAGTCTGTTACCGTTTCCATGAACCGTGTTGCGATGTGTTGATAAGACTGTGCTTAGTCAGGTGTTGGATGATGGAAACCCTCAGATTTTTCTCCGAGAGTTTGCATGTACAGTATGGTATGTTAAGCTGATCGGCCTATAGTTTTCTGCTGCTCTTTTCTACCCTTTTTGTATACTGGAGTGACACTGACTGATTTCCAGTCCCTGAATAGGAGTCTTAGTGGGGTGCAAATCTTGCTTGCCACCTCCTTTATCACCTTGGTCTGTGCTCCATCCACTCTAGGGGCTTTGAATTCTTTCAAGGTAAGCTATTTTCTTTCTGATGATATTGTCTGTAATTTCTATCTCAAAGGTAACAACAATCAAAAGGACAAGCCAGACATGTCTCAACTGTACAGAAGGAACAAAGAGCCAAAGTCATTTGTGTTGATATTTGGTGCATGAAAGAATCACAGTGTGTGCACACTTCTTAACCAAAGAGGAATATGAAAGTCTGAAGTCTAGTGGTGTATATTTTAACTATGTATGTAGTCTAAGAATAAATGCTCAATAGTCTATTCCACTATTCCTAGCAAACACACCAGTTGACCGTCAGGAACTGCATTTTATACACATAGCCTAGATCATTATTACCCAAGATGTCAGAAATAAAAAATCTAGCATCTAAAATTTAAGGCTGACATATTTTCCATCTCAAAAACATAGTTACAGGTATTATATGATTGTCACAGTCCAAAAAATTAGAAAAGGTTAAAATGTTTAACATCTTGACAGGAATAGACACGAGGGGGGGGGGGGGTTTGGAGTATGTCCTTATAAAAGCTGTGGCTAGATCTATACTGTACAGTACTCTTAGATCAGACTTACTTGATCATCATCTGGAGCAATAGACTTAAGAAATTGATCTGACCCATAACACTGATTTTCATAGTCCAATGTGTACCGCAACCGAGTTAAATGAATATGTACGTAAATTCATGAGGTGACACCCTGATGTGCTTGAGTTGCCATAGGGTCTTATATAACTGAGTGTACAAGAGAGAGCAATCCCCACTCGTGACTCGCTCTTCCATCGTCTAACAGGTATGTAACTAGTGCCTCACACCCGCCATATTAAGTGATTTAACTCAGTTGAACTTCGTTGAATATATCAGTGTTCATGTTTTAACGTAGTTGAACGTCTTATGTGCCAAGTGATAAAAATAACGTAACCAGATATCGGCAATGTTGAATCGTCCATGCGTTCTTTTGCCAGATGTGGGTTGATATTTTGTATTTGATCTTAGACCACTCGTGACTTGCTCTTCCATCATCTAACAGGAACGGTGTGTGTTGTGGCTGCTACAGAGTATCGGTAGCTGCCTGCAGACAGGATGTCCAAAGCAGGAGGTCTTTAATGCAACAAGATTAAAATCCGAGGGAGTCATGAGCCCGCGGAAATAAGGCTCTCTAGCGCTGTGGTGCTGGAGTTTAACAAGGCTACAGCCAAGCCGCATAGGTTTGAACACCAGTAGTGAAAACCTAGTGTAGTAATCTTGATCATATGTACTGTTATCTCTTGTGTACATTATTGTGGATGATTATCAGGAATATAAATGTCCCAGGTTGAGTATTGAAACCATAAATATTTATACCAACAGAAGTAGTGCTTGTTAGGTAAACCAGCTATACAGTACTGTACTGTACTGTACTCACAGTTGAGATTTGCTGGTGAACGTACATTCGAAGTTTGTTCTTCAAATAATGACATGATGATACATGCACTGCACTAATATCCCTGTATGCTATTGACAAGTGTATAGAGTAATCACCTTTATTGTCATTGATGTATAATAATACCCTTCAAGAGGTATAAGTATGGTAATGAATGTAATTGTTAATCAATGATCTATTTTTGCTACTTATACAGTAAGACCTATTGGTCAGTTTTGTCTAGGTGTTACAGTAAAGTAATCAGTGACGGAGCCTAGTTTTTGTTGTTGTGAGTAAAGGTTCAGATTGTCATAATATTCAGAGTTGATTTTAGAAATATTGATCCAGTAGAATGGGAGTATCACCGCTCCTTCCTTCTAACAATAGACGAGTTGACGGTTCTGGGTAAACACAAGAAATACACTCTGCCACGTTCGTAGAGTGATACGGTACATACTGTATAATTTGTATTAAAAGTTTAAAGTCCTGCTATAATAGTAGTGATAAGTTTATTTCTCGAGAAACAGGGCCGCCATTTGCAATGACATCACCAATTTCAAAATCATCTCTGCAGTCGTAGGTTATACAGAGGATGGCCTCTTCAGACCCCAAATGCCATGTTCACGTAAGTTTTAAAGGTATTTTTTTATGGTCTAAGTCATGGACATTTTGTAAGTGAAGAAATGTGCCATGAAAAGCAGCTTCAAACATAGGTTGGATGGATATATGAGCAATAGGGGTTGGGTGTAAATGGGACTGCCCAGTATGACCCGCTGCAGTTTCCTCCATTCTTATGTTCTTTTGGACATAAAAAACTCACATGTTCACACCAGCTCAGCTGTCATGTACTCTTACCTGGTAAACTGGTTTTTAGAAAAAAAAAACTTTTTCTTTCTTTTCTTTTTTCAGTGCATTTACAGAGTATATCAGTACTAGATGGAGATACACCTCTCGTACGTCTATGGGAAAGGGTCGCGGAAAGAGGACATGATTGCTGCCCGTATCATCATTGGGTATGACTTTGCTTGGTAGATTGGTATCCCCGCATCCCCTGAGCAACGCTCTTGTGCATTATGCAGAAGACCCGACAGCAGCACCCTTATCCACTACCTCCTAAGATGTCCCCACACACAACGCTTCCGTGACGCCTACTGGACCACCACTCCACGACCCCCTGACGGAGACACGATGATCCTCCCCATACTGGCCAGATATTTTGTAAATAACATTATGTGTTAAAGGAATATCCTTCCTTCCTTCCTTAGGCTTTAGTAAGCCCCTTTATAATATTTATACTGTACTGAAAATACCTGTCACACTTGCCAGATGCTTCTGGTGTCATTGTACAGGGGTACCTAGTGACAGCACTAGGATCCCGCTTCCTCTATCAAGGAATAAACAATTGAAATTGAAAGAGATACTAGTAAATTTAGAAGTGATGACATTGCCTGGACTTTGTTTTGATAATGCCTGATGACATAGTCCTGTTATTGTTTTGATGGTTCACTACCGAACCTCTGGGATATATCATCATTTATATTAATTAATGGGTAAAATTTTACTATTACTACCATAAGTATTTGGATGTTTAGATTCAAGATAGGCTATATTGGGTAAATTTAAAGTTTTGGTCATCCCTGTACTTAGACAAGCAGACTATGTTGTTTTCTGATGGTTTGCAATGTGTTATGAACGATTTTGACCTTCATTTCTAACGGAAATCACTTGTTTTGAGTTATTATCCCCCCTTACCGATGCATGTTAAGCTAACCTTGTAACTCATCATACCCTAACCTAACCTATGACCTGCATTTTCTTATGCGATCGAAAAATGTTTTGCGACAGAAATCCTGTAGAGATAATGTGTCTTGCTGTTTAAAGTACTTAATCCCATAGTTAGAATCTTAAGGTTCCCCAGATGACCAAAACCAATACCAATGTTGTTTGGAATGTTTATACTGTACTATGAAATTTGTTGTATGGGCATCTAATATCCAATAAATTAGTTTATGTGCTTAGTAATATTTATACTATACTCAAAATAGTATTACTGTGTTGCACAATTAATTATAGAACAATATTTATTTACAGAGCCGTTCAACCAAAAAGGTTGGAACACTGCAGCTGGCTGACTCCTGCTGGGAAGTGCACCCCAACCAGTGATGTCACAACCAATCATAGAGCTTTTCGCAATCAAGTGACTTTTTAGCAACTTTAACCCTTATTTTTGACACTTTTTGGCCCAATTTATTTTAAAATATCATTACCATAATGAATTTAAGCGTTTTCTTTGCCCATTGACCTGCCATCTTAGAAAAAAATTCCGACCATCAACTCATCCATTGACATCTCAGAAAATATAAATAAGACTAACACGCCTAACCTCTCATGTCTGCCACGCTACCACTTGTTCATTGTAGAAGTTATATTCTACTGGGTGGTGGCAGCCTAAGATGTAAGTACAGGTTGTACCTCTCTAGTCCGGCAACCTCGGGACCTGACCGGTGCCAGACCATGGAAATTCACCCTTTTCCTGGATAGATAGTGACTTGTGCTTATGCCTGGAAGCACTAGCACCACTTTCTCTGCGCCATGGTCTCTTTGAAGACATATTGAAGGGTTAAATGTCGTATAGTAGCTTCTCAAATTTCGCGAGTTTTTAATTCTTAACGTATTTTATTGGAACACACAAAAAAATAAATAAATAAAAATTTTGACGGCGGAAACTTGAATTTCGACGGGTTTGAACGGCCCGCCAACGTGCAGACGACGTGCATAATCGTGTAAACAGCGTCATTTCTCTTATGTACAAAAGATTCATTATTGTTTATTACTGAATGTCTTTTTTATTGAATTAATGTTTATGTGTGCAAAATGAGCAATACAATTCATTAATAATACGTAGAATATTAAAACACACGAGGAAATGACACAGCATTGTTTTCGTTGATTACAAAACCAGTGACTGACTGGTTCTACATATAAAACTGAAGAAAATAAGACCTTGGTTGTAGCTGTAGTAAAATTAATATGGTTGTTTTAAGTAATGTTATTTAATGTTAATAAATGGAACAATAGAAGTAGCTAACGATAATGGTAAAGAAATATGAGTGCGCATGCGCACACGTGAAAACATATCGTCATTACTTTACATAAGAATATGAAAGCAACACTTATTTACTGTTCATATATATTTTAATTAATGTTTCTGAATTTGTTTTTATTGAATCAATGTACGTGTGTGCAAAATTAACAATACAATTTATTAATAATACGTGGAATATTAGAGGAGACGAGACGGCTGCCGGCATTGTTTATGTTAAAGCTTACGAAACCAGTGACTGATTGGTTCTACATATAAAACTGAAGAAAATAAGACCCTGAGTTTAGCTGTAGTAAAATTAATGTAAAAAATGAATATGGTTGCTTGAAGTACCTGTAATGTTATTTAATGTTAATAAATGGAACAATATAAGTAGCTAACCATTAATGGTAAAAAAAAAGTGAGACTGCTCGTATGTAAGTGCGCACATGTGAAAATATATCGTCATTACTCTACATAAGAATATGAAAGCAACACTTATTTACTGCTCATATATATTGAAGGGTTAAATGTTGTACTCTGTATAGACAAGCAGAGAGAGAGAGAGAGAGCAGCCGAACTGCCGGATGTAAACAAACCTTAATTTCCCGCGGCTTTTTTTTTTTTAAGGGGATTAGCCCACCCGGGCATAGGTCACTGACCCACATTGGGGCCTGAGGGGCAAAAATTTAATACTCCTGTAATAATAATAATAATTCAGAAAAAAAAAAAAAAAAACTGCCTATCTACCTATAGGACAAACCAAAATCGTTCCGGACCACAGAATGCCAGACTAGAGAGGTACAACCTGTATAATCATTATAAGAATGTAGAAAATGTGGTTTTCCCAGATTGGTCCACTGAACAGAATATAACTGGGAAAAGCTGAGAATAAAAGTAAGAGAAAATATACAGAGAAATAATAATATTAAAAGAAAGACTTAGAAAATAAATAAAATAAAAGAAATATAAACAATAAAGTTTACAGAAAGGTCATAGAAAGAAAAATCTCCAACAATGTAAAAGTATACCTCTTACAAAACAATAATAGTGCAAGAAAACTTCTCTAGAAACGTTTCTTGGACCGGCATTTCACTAGGTACACTACACCCCACACTGTTAATAACTGATTCTATTCTTCACAACTCATCATAAAATTATTGTTTTACACACTGTTCTTTCATATTCCACAATTTCCTTCTTGGAACATAAACTTTCCTTTCTCTACACCTTTCAAGCAACATTTCACACAAAAGCAATCTTTGCTGCAAGACACACTCTTCTCCTGTTATAACTTCTACATCCCTGACAACCTTCCTGTCTGAGTTCCTGACAGGTAGTTGCATACCATAATTAATCTGGATTTTTGTACCACCCGACTCATACCTAATCAAACGAATTGTCCTTTTCTTAAACATGATGCAAACTGCACAATCATACTCCATGCATCCTCAAACTTAAGTATTTATTCTCCTTCCATATTCCTTGTACCACAGTTTTTTCCACCACATAAACCTCATAAACCTCAGTGTGGACACCAACATATTAATTTAGGTCATCACCCATTACTACAACTTCCCTTTCACCTCACTCCAACACTACATGCACCAACTCATCCCAAACTTGTCGTATTCACTTAGCCCAACTTGTGGGGCATATGCAGATATTAAAGTTACCAGATTCCTGTCAACCAGATATGTTAAAAGAAAACAAAGGTTGTTTTCTAAATGTACAGCAATCCATCAATAAAAATCTAGCACTTACTCTTTATTTAATAAATCTAGCGCTTTCTGTGGTATATCTGATCGGGTGATGAGCACCTTAGGCTTTGACATGGTGGCAGTGGACCTGAAAATACAGAAGGTTAGTAATAGAGGACATGTTCCTAGTGAATCTTAGTGATTACTGTATTTCTCTTAATAACACATTCTAGCTTTTGGAAACTTATGAAGAAAAAAAATTGCTAAAAAGAAACTAATATCTTTCAATATTTTGTTTTCCCTTTTCTTTTACCTTTGTGAGTGAGATGGACATATGAGGGTGTGGCCTGGCAATGTGACCTGTACTTAATCTAGGCTGGCCTTGTACATCATGGACACAAATCAACCCAAGGGTAGAGCATCACATCATTCAACCAAAGTGCAATCTGAACAAATTATTTTTTGGTGATTTTTCTATCCCAAACATGTGCAATGAAATTAGATTCACTATTTACATAAAGGGTATTACCAACTATCTTTATATTTTATGATTTATCTGATAAAAGATGAACTAATAATAACCTAGCCTAACCTAGGTTAGATTAGGTAGATTAGGCTAGATTGGTTGGCTCATTTAACTCCAATAAATGATATAATGCAGCAGTAGTTGGTAAGTAAGTTGCTCTATGTGGAAGAGTTAATGTGTATGAAATGCGGTTCAGAAGAAAATTGTCACAATATTAAAAAATGTGCAAAACATCATTTCTTGAGATTGCCAAAACAGTACTGTATTACAATATTTAGTATGAGTTATTAAAAATCTTCTACAGCATTATCATCATCTAAACAAAAAAAAAAGCTTTAAACTTGTTGGCTGTGGTTAATATTTGGCAGTGACCAACCACAGAACTCTGTACTGTACCAGTATTGATTTGGGTACTACAGAAAGATGAGGCTTGGTTCTTTAGAGTCCTTTGTTTTTCTTTTGTCTTGTTGGGTTAGGTTAGGGCACAACCACCCCCCATCTCCCTGGATAGACGGTTAGGTCAAGTCCTTCTGGTTTCTCTGGTTAAGTTAGGTTAGGTTAGACATGTACCTATATGTACTGTACTAATATTTAAGGGTCATTAGATTAAGTGGTCAATAATTAGAAGTTGCCACCACCTCACTGAATATTGAGTCATATATGGGGAGATAGAAAAAAAAATATTCTACAACATTTCCGAAGGAAATTTATAGTTTTTTAGTTATTTTAACTTATTTTATTATAATTGACATCATAGTCATTCACACCAATCAGCGTGAGTGCCAATGTGAAGTAATACTCGTGCACTAATCAGCATTCGCGGCCAGTTGGAAGATGACATCTGTGTGTGAAGGATGTTCAGTCAGCCAAAGATGCACCGACCCCACCCTGGGTCTCGTGCTCGCAATTTTACCTGGCAATACTTGGTAAAGGAAGGCTGTATGTAAAGGTGATTGTGATTGGTGGATCTGTTTTCGGCTGTATCACTGTCAGGATAAATATTAAACAAACCAAAGGTAACATTTTTATAATAATAAACTATTCATTGTTATTTAAGATCATGCGAAGTTTCCAAATGTTCGTATATTTGTTTGAATAATAGAGAAAATTTGATGTGAGAATCTTGTGGCAGCTGTGGTTGTAGTTGAGTTGCCAATTCATTAATATTATTTTCTTCATTATTTAAGCAAATACAGTGACCCCTCGTTTAACGAACACCTCGGTTAACGTAATTTCGATTAACGAACTGCCTTCCATAAGGATCTTCAATTCGGTTAACGAAAAAAAATTCGCTTAACGAACTTCTTACGAACCGACCTCAACATGTTTTCGCTTGCACTGACCGGGCAACCAGCTTTAGTATCAGTCCGCCAATACATTAATCGGTTCTAGGGCTTAAATTCCTTACTATTTTTGTAAATATCAAGAAGTTTATACTATTCAATAATTTTAAAAGTTTAATATTCAATTTTTTAGTCATTTTAACAATTATTGAACAAAATTGAAGGTAAAGTGACTAGTTTAATGCGCGGCATCCAGCCTCTTAACACAGCAAACAGGCGTCAGTCTCTCTCTGTTTTCACTGGAGGTAACATCTTGCTTGAGACTCTCTTCAACTAAACGCTTTTTTTCTGTGTTTCCAAGCAAATTATTGGTCATTTTGAAATATATTTTATATATTGACAATATATAATGCAGTGCAGCGTTGATTTAAAGAAAATAATCTTGAATTAAACCAGAGAGCTAAAATTTTATGGGTGAAATGGCACCATGGGGTGACTTCTCTTCCACCCCAATGCCTTCTCTTCTTCCTTCTCCTCCACCCCCATTCTAAATCCCATCATCATCATCATCATCCAGGAGCCTTCTACATACACACCTCAAAGTAAGTGAACTTTTCTACCATTTTTGTTGAATTTAGGAAATTTTCGGTGAGCTGGAACCAATTACCCAAAAACCCATTGAAACAATGGTTTCGGTTAACGAACGTTTCGGTTAACGAACGACCTTCTGGAACGGATTGAGTTCGTTAACCGAGGGGCCACTGTACTGTACTTGCACAAGAAAATTTGGAAACTTCTCATGACCTTAAACAACAATGAATAGTTTATTATCATAAAAATGTTACCTTTGGTTTGCTTAATATTTATCCTGACAGTGATACAGCCGAAAACAGATCCACCAGTCACAATCACCTTTGCATACAGCCTTCCTTTACCAAGGATTGCCAAGTAAAATTGCGAGCACGAGACCCAGGGTGGGGTCGGTGCATCTTTGGCTGGCTGCCGCATTATTCAGTGCATTTTGGACAAGGAAGCAGCAGCCGTTGTCATTTTTAAGGCTTACGGTGTTTTTGTTTCATCTGTAGAGTGTCCGAGATGTAATTCAGAGTGTCAGTAACGTGTAGATCGCCATGCATGGTACTGTGGTAAGTGACGGACACTGACGGCCACTTCCTCATTCAAGTCTCATCACTCTATCCTTCTACCCTCCTGTATCTCTTAATTAAGGTTTTTTTAGTTGTTTTTAACAATGTCTGACCTTCCACTTTTTTTTTCAATATCTCAACTACTGCTAATTTCTGACGGCAATGAAGGTCATATTGTATTTAACACGATGACTTACAGTATAAAAACCCATTTTCAAAAGTCAATTACGTGGTGGCAACTACCAAATATTGACCGGTTAAGTTCTTGATCATTTTGTTTGGCAAAAATTTATTTCTTCCACAAAATTTGGGATGTTCTTGATAAACCAAAGAATTTTTCTTCTATTAAAAAATTTCCTAACTCGGCTCCTTAACCCAGGCAGCTGATCTTAAATATTACACCTTTTATAGCTTTTGTAATAATTAGGTCTTGTTTGGTTCGGTTTCGTCAGTTTTTTTGCTTGTTTATACGCCCTCTATACAAATCAATACGTACTGTATAGAGTTGTGTGCTAGGTCACTACCAAATATTTATCTTGGCTGTTCTTGTGTATACAGGCATGAAACAAAACACAAGGAATATAAAAAAGATGGTGCCACCGAGAGGAAGGACACCTTTTCAGGCTGGAATAAATACAGTAATCTTTAATTTAACATAGTGGATTTTTTGCTGTGACCAGCTATGCTCCTATTAACACTATTTTACCGTGAGTGCGCTCTGTTTGGCGAAGTACTTTCCGTTTAATAATGATGGGGGGGTCTGCCCCCCCCCCCACCCCCGAGCTAGGAAGTTAGGTAAGGAAAGGTAGGTTTCTTTGGTTGGTTAGGTCAGGTTCTATTAGGTTCAAGTAAATGTTGCATCTTTTAAAATGATAAGTTTCCATGCACAACAGAAATATGGTTAGGTATGTTATAGCAATGCAACAATCAACTCACAGCTAAATAAAAGCCACCAGTCATGGTCAAATGTAGTTCTCACATTGTTCACCGGTAATGGACGATTAGCCAATTAGAGCGCACACACACACACACAGTAAAATAGTGTTAGTATGTACGTAGCCAGTCACAGCAAAATTTCCACTGCCTTGATTTAATGGGGAAAAAATTATGTCTGCCAAGTTCGTTTGTGGATGAATTCATTGGTTCCTTCCATTTAAAGCATATTTTTACAAGATGAGAATAGAAGATTACTAGTAATTTAGGTTAAGTTAGGTAGGGTAGTAAGCTAATAAATGGTGAAAATTATAAATAGGCAATATCTGATATTCCAGATGCACAAAATATAAATAAAGGAGTGCATGATTTTACGCCCATTAAAAACAAGTGTACCCAAAATACACCGATTAGGAAGAATCAACCACAGAACTTTACCAATACTGTACCTCTGAAAAAATAAAAAAAAACTCGTACTATACAAGCATTAAAGTAGTGCAAGCAATCAAAACATTTGTCTACAAGACTTACAATGTAACATTCAAGTACTGCAGTATCACACAACTAGTCTATCTTCCAATACTGTATATGTTAATAATGGCTAGCCTACACAGATGGATAAACAATACAACTAATCTTACTTTTATAGGTTATTAGTTGCGATCCAGCTGGCTATGCTCACTACCATCGACGGAGACATTACTCAGTCAATCTCAAACCATAACTCTCTTTACCTTAGTTCTGAACCACACACTGTGCCTGGATACACCTGATGATTTCTTGGTTCTTACTAGGCACCAAGAATCACCTGCCGGCACCTGAGACCGATGGACTACTTTTACCTTCTCAAATCTTGCTGTAGAGATGGTAAAATCAAAAGCTGTGCACACAATTGGTGGTGTTTATAGGTGATCTGGGTCTTTACCAACGCAGTGAAGGTTTTGGGCCGGGCTGTCACTTGAGCTATCTGCCGATACATTAGATAATAGGGTTAGCACTAAACGCCACCTCACGAGTCCCGCATATGTTTCACTCTACCATGTATCAGTGTTGCCAGACATTCCATATATTGAGAACTCCCAGGATGAGCTCGGTCAAATTCCCAATATTTCCCAAGTTTTATGATATACTGTATAGTAATACATAAATATGAATTATATGATATGCCTGACGTTGTACACTCCTCCATACAAATGTTTGCCGATGACGCCAAGTTATTTCGGGAAATTAAGAACCAAGCGGACTGTGAAGAGCTGCAGAAGGACCTCTGTGGGCTCCAGGAATGGTCGAAGGAATGGCTGCTGAGATTCAATGTCACGAAGTGTAAGAGGATGCACCTGGGGCGTACCAACGGTAAGGAGGCGTACCATATGTCCCAACGGGATGAAGAAAATGTACTAGTTGAGACTGTGTGTGAGAAGGACCTAGGTGTGTATGTTGACAATGAGCTGAAGTTCTCGGGCCATTGTGAGAAGAAGGTAAATCAGGCAAATAAATTATTGGGTCTTATAAGAAGGTCGTTCAGATATCTAGACGGTCCGTCCCTCGTGACGATCTTCAGGAGTGAAGTGCTTCCCCATCTGGAGTACTGTCACCCCATCTGGTCCCCGAGATATGCTAGGGACTGTCAGTTGGTTGAAAATGTTCAAAGGAGGGCCACCAAACTGGTGCCTGCACTTCGGCATCTCAGCTACCCTGAGAGATTGGAGCGCCTGAACTTGCCTAGCTTATACTACAGACGGGCAAGGGGGGACCTAGTTGAGGTTTATAAGCATCTCAGGGGGCACTACTCAGTTGAGTGTCCTTACTTGGAGCTGGCGGACGCTCGCCCCACAAGGGGTCACAGCTCAAGATTGAAGAAGCTGCAAGTCCGGAAAACCGTGAGGGCAAACTTTTTCGGAGTGAGGGTTGTAAACTCTTGGAACAATCTACCAGAGAGTGTTGTGACGGCACCGAGTGTGAGCTCTTTCAAGAGAAGACTTGACCAACACTGGAGCGGGTTCAGGTACATTCAGGAGCCGGTGCATGCCCAGTATTTGCCAACAGTGCGTGACAGAGACGTGACCGATCGCCCGGGCGGCTAGCGAGCCGACCTTTTGGTGAAGAATATAAAGGAAAAGAGTCGTGACCGATCGCCCAAGCGGCTAACAAGCCGATCAGTGGCGAAGAGGATAAAAGTAAAAGTAAAAAGTAAAAAAAAAAGTAAGAATGACATATTTCTTGTAGTTTTCTTTTGACTCACTCAACCTTTTAGCACCATCACTGTCTGGGGACATATTATTTTATAATTTTTATAAGATCATCTTGAAAATTGAACGACTGGTGTTTTTGTCATAAAGTCATAGAACAAGAAGTCTGGCTGTAAAGCCTTTCGAGACGGACACGTGTTTTTCAGATTTGTATCATTTGATGAGACACTTTTTTTTTGCATTTTTTTAGCTTACATTCACACAAACTACACAAAGCTGCATGTGTATCATTAGTGTCAGGGTTAAGGCAATCATTCATTTCAGGATGTTTCAACAAATATGAACTAAACTTCTGTTGATTCACTTTAGCTTTCTTTGGTTGAGGACGAGTGCCACTGCGCCCGGGCTGGGGAATGATCATCATTCACCAGTTCACTTATATTTGGTAAAGGATTGGCATCACTGCGGAGTGCGACACTGCGTCACTAATTCATGTCATAGTGACTGCAAAATGGAGAAAATCAACGTTAAATACAATAAGACTCCTACAGAATCATATCATCGTAATATTAAGAATAACGTTGAATTTTATTTATTTATTTTTGTAACTAACTATAGCAAAGAATGTTTATCTGTTTATTACAATGAGCTCAAGCCAATGGTAACCTTCACCTATCATTTGCTATTGCTGATAATAGTAACTTGTGCTCTGAATGTTATATAAGTTTTAGACCTTTTAATATTATGACTGAATTAAATATATTTCAGAAACAAAAATAAATAATTTCATTCGTATTCATATTTTTTTCTGTAGGTAACCAAATGGCATTCATAATTGTTAGGATTAATGCTAGAAGTTAATGTCGCGATATTTATTAGATTTGTTTTTTGGGGGAGGGAGTAACACAGATACATTAGTTCTCTAAATACATAAACTTCAAAGGCACGATTAACCACACTTTTGATTCGTTTGTTATTCTTGAACAAAATTGAAAGAAGTACCAAGTATTGTCTAATGGTAGACCCTGCTGCCATATGGCATCACAAAAATATGGCATCACAAAGTCCCAGAGGTTGCTGATCTGACTTGCTGCCACATTTACACAATTGCAGGATTTCAATTGTTTCTCTTACTTTGACAACACAACAAACATATATCGTTTCTCACTATTAATCTTTTTTATTTATGGTCATTTTTATTATTATTATTATTATTATTATTATTATTATTATTATTATTATTATTATTATTATTATTATTATTATCATTATTATTATTACTATTATTATTATTATTATTATTATTATTATTATTATTATTATTATTATTATTATTATTAAAGAAAATTAATAATATATTTTTATTTATTTATTTATTTATTATTATATTTTATTATTAATGTTTATAATTTCGCCTCCAGGCCCTGATGTGGGTCATTGACCTATGCCCTGGTGGACTAATCCCGTAAAAAAAAGGGGGGGGGGTAATTTACCAAGGTCAAGACTAGAGAATGAGAAGTCCAGTAGAAGCGACTCCTGAGTTGTGTTCCTTTAGTTTGTATGTGACATTCTGTGTAACTGCTGCTGTCGATATTATGGCCTCTGCAGGAACTTTCAAAATAAAATTTACTAACCAATTGTAACCCTCTGTCTGATTGTCTCGATAGTTTTGACACAACTTAAAAATACTGTTAAAATTTTAATTTATTTCAATCCATAGATTTTTTGCTAATAGGCACATCAAGGAAGCAAATAACAAATCTAATTATGTTTCACTGATATCGGACTCTTATATAATTGAGGTGCATTATTTGTACCAAATTTCAAAAGGAAAAGAAAAATGCAGGAGGCTTGAAGGTGACGACGGTACACTGAAAGCCTACTGAAGCCATATGGTGATAAGGCGTTTGTAAGGGTTGCTGCCTCAGCTAAAAGTACTGTACCACGTGATTCATTATTCGTGTCCGAATATACTGGTCGTCAGCTGAATGTCGGACAACAGCACTATCACATATTCTCAGAATGTGGGATTCCGACAACAATTTTGAAAGACTGCAGGGACTACGCAGACGTGGGATACTGCATTGTATAAAATCACTGATAAATATATCTGAAAGTTAGGTGTTTGCATAGGGATTCAAAGACACTACAGTAATTTCAACAGTTTAAGTAGGGCTCCTCAAAGATACAATTTATATTTATATATACATATATGGTTTCTCACTCTTGATCTTTTTTTTTATTTCTTTATGGTTCTTTATTATTATGATTTATTATTATTATTACCTTATTATTATTATTATTATTATTATTATTATTTTTATTATTATTAATATTATTATTATTGCTGCAGTGTTATTATTATTATTGTTATCAGTATTGTTTTATTTTTTAATTTTTGTATACAGTATTTTATTTAAAAGTTTACTTATCTGGATTATTATTATTATTATTATTATTATTATTATTATTATTATTATTATTATTATTATTATTATTATTATAATTATCCCCCACCCCCACCCCCGGCCCTCATCCCAGGAATATTCTGGGTACAGTGAGTTCTGCTATAACGGGTGTTTTGACAACGCGAATTAGCTCTTACGCGATTTATGAATAGAGGAACGATATTTGTATAACGAAAACACTTGTTTGCTGTAACGCAATTTTTGCTTACTATTTCTCCAATTTTGTGGTATTAACTGTGAATATGGTAAAGAAGAATATCTCCAAGAAGCGTTCTGGTGATCGCATTCCCGGTGATGATCGTAAAAGAAAGTCTATAACCCTTGAAGAGAAGCTCCATGTTATCTACCTCAAAATCATCCTTCTCCCTCATCAAGTTATATTCATATTTTTTCAAGGTAAAGTGTTACATTTACTGTATGATTTCATTATTAAATATGAATGTAACATTTATTTAGACTGTGCTATCCTTTGTGTTAGGCTAACTACTAAATTTTTTTCGATTTCGAGTAGTAATCTGCACCTAACCCTATTTTCTCCATAAGCCTGTTATTTCTATTACGCGAATTTCTATAACACGATGTTTTTCAAGAACACAACTCAAATATCAAAACACCGACACCTCCAACAATAATAATAATAATAAATAATAACAATGTTAGTAAAATAATAAAATAACAGTTACAACAATAATATAAAAGAATAAACCACACAAAAAATAATAATAATAATGAAACTTAAAAAAATCTGCAGCTCACTTATAAAAAACAAGAAATTGTTGATTGTGTGTAAGTGAATGTGTACTTGTAGAGCATTGAGAGTAAGTAAGGCCAGGGGGAGGGAGGGAGGGAGGGTAAACAAAGAGTAAGGAGAAGAGAGAGTGAGGGAATGGGGGAAGAGAGAGAGAGAGAAGAGTGAGTGAGTGAGGGAGAGTGAGTGAGAGGAGGGACGGAATGGGGGAAGAGAGACAGAAGAGTGAGTGAGAGGAGGGAGGGAATGGTGTAAGAGAGAGAGAAGAGTGAGGGAGAGTGAGTGAGTGAGAGGAGGGAGGGAATGGGGGAAGAGAGAGAGAAGAGTGAGTGAGTGAGGGATAGGGTCAGATTACTGTACATTCTAATGGGTTTCTGTGGGAAGACATTTGTTGTGTTATATTTAGAGAACCGTAAAAAAGTTTGGCTTGGGGCAGAGGGTGGGGGGGGGTGGTGTGTGTGTGTGTGTGTGTGTGTTTGTTCATCACTACAACACAACACTAACATCATCACTACAACACAACACTAACATCATCACTAAAACACAACATTAACATCACTTTAAGCCAACA